TATGCAGTTTTCGAAATTTTTTTAAATTAGCTTTTTTCTTAACCTTTTTTGCTGCTCACTGGTGCATCTTGCTTGTGAAGCTTGGAATTGCTATGTATTGTATGGGCATAATATATTATTCACTTGGTTTCTCTTTAGGTTCTCAAAGATGGGGGTGGATTTGGAGCAGCCTGGTTCACAGCTAATGTATTGAGTTTGCAGGATGGTAAAGCTTGTGTGTGTTACACTGAGCTTCAGTCAGATGAAGGTATACCACCGTTAATCCTGTTAGAAGCAGACAATCACACCTTTGCCTCATGCCCTGTTTCCTTTAAAAGAATGTTTTTCCCTCATGTTATAAATTCCTGGTTACTACTTTTAATTAGGATCTGGTGTAGTATTTGATACTTGCATTGGAACCTTGCTACTCATATGATTCATAATGAGAACTCTTTGTAAAGATATTATGCCTGCACACCTTCTTTGCTTAATGTATGTTTAATTTCTCATCTATATAGGCTCAGGGAAACTACAGGAATGGGTGGCACTTGAAGGCGAAGAAGATAAGCCACCGAAAATTCGCATTGCCCGCCCTGTTACTGCTTTGGGATTTGAAGGAACGAGGAAACGGCGCAGAGCAGCGATGGCAGATTATGCTTGGTCTGTTGGAGATAAAGTTGATGCATGGATACAGGACAGGTGAGCACAAGTTAATTATGTTAAAAGGTGATTGGTTTTTTTTGGGGAGAATCTTGCTGGAGAGATATTTGTATAGGAAGATAAATATAACTATTGCCTGCAATCGCCTACATTTCTCTGTATCTTTCTTCACTATCTCAACCATGCCTAGTCTTGGGTGTTGAAGCATGTTGGCAGTGTTGGTATATTAGATATCCATGCACTATGGTGATTATAAACTTGCATCAGGTCTTCCTATTTTACTTAACGGCAACTTTGATTTTGATGCTGTTCTTCTGTCCAATTTCCACATTGAGTTTGTGGAGTTTTCCTTGATTTCTTAGCCATCAGTATGCTTAACTCCTCTCATGTGTATTGAATTATGTTTTCAGCTGGTGGGAAGGAGTTGTCACTGAGAAAAACAAGAAAGATGAAACTATATTAACTGTCCACTTTCCAGGTTTGTATGGATCATTTTGTCTTTTTGTGGGTGGGGGTTGCTCTTATTAAGGCCCCAACATGTAAATGCTTCCCATTGTATTGTGCAAAAGTTGCTGTTTCTTAATGCGGGATTCTCTGGTTATTAATTCTTACAGCTCAAGGGGAAAAGTCAGTTGTTAAAGCTTGGCATCTTCGGCCTTCTCTCATTTGGAAGGATGGGGAATGGGTTGAATGGTTCAGTGTACGAAATGACTGCACTTCCCATGAGGTACTTTTTTTATATCAGTTCATGCTTGATTTTGTCTGGTTCCTAAAACTTCTCAATTGAATTTATTTTATTTTACTGAAGTCCAAATTTGTTGTTCAGGGTGACATGCCCCAGGAAAAGCGACCCAAATTGGGCAGTCCTGCAGTGGAAGGCAAAGGGAAGGATAAGACATCAAAAAGCATTGATATTGTAGATTCAGGGAAACCTGAAGAGCCAAGGTCACTGAATTTATCTGCAAATGAAAAGGTATTTAATATGGGTAAGAATACCAGAACTGAGAACAAGGCTGATCCAACCCGAACAGTTCGGACTGGGTTGCAGAAGGAAGGAGCCAAGGTGGTTTATGGTATTCCCAAGCCTGGAAAGAAGAGAAAATTTATGGAAGTTAGCAAACATTATGTGGCAAATCAGAGTACTAAGGTTAATGAAACTAATGATTCAATGAAATTTGCGAAATACTTGATGCCTCAAGGATCGGGTTCCCGTGGATTGAAAAATACATCTAAAATTGACACAAGGGAAAAGCAGGTGACTGAATCCAAGCTGAAGGGTCTTAAATCTGTCAAGCCGCAAGGTGTGCCAAGTAAATCTGTTCCACAGAAGGACCACCTCTTAACAGATGCACGTACTGTCTCTGATGGTTCAAGTGAAATGGACCATACAGGAGTAAGCCGTGTTGACAGTGTATCTGGAAAGCATACCCTATCACAACCAGAGGGCCCAATCGTATTTTCTTCACTTGCTCCCTCATCTGATTTTCCTTCCTCCAAGAAAGTGTCCGCATCAACTGCTAAATCTCGGTCAAACAAAGGAAACCTTGCACCTGCTGGTGCAAAGTTGGGCAAAATTGAGGAGGGAAAAGTGTTCAGTGGTAATCCTGCAAAGTCGACTTCTGAAGTTGCTGAGCCTCGTAGATCGAATCGCAGAATTCAGCCGACATCAAGAGTAAGAATTTAGATATATTTTGGTCTTGTGTTGCATATAGATGTCGTTCGTTCTTTTCATATTATAACATTGTGGTGAACTATTCTGATGTTTTGTCTTGATTTTTGGGTGCTAAGCTTGGTTCTATACTATTTTGGTGTGAATTCGGTGATGTTACAGTCACTTGTATAGGGTGTTTTTGGAAGTTAATGTGTGCAGTGTTCATTGCAGTGTAGGTGTTCATTGCAGTGTAGGTTTTTAGAATTATATCCCAACATCTCTTTCTTCGAAATTTTTTTTATTGTTGTGGTCTTTGTATTATTCACATTAAATATTTTTGCAATTTCAGGTACAGATTTATCTAATTTTCTTTACTTGTTTTGGTAACCATGTAGAATCGGAAACTTTCCTCTTTCATGCTAGTTCCCTTGCTCGTGTTTGAATGCAATGTAAACATTCTCTTTTTCTATAATCTAAGCCTTGTGTTGTTGACATTGCTGGCCGCAGCTATTAGAAGGACTGCAAAGCTCGTTGATCATCACAAAGATTCCTTCTGGTTCACATGACAAAGGTCACCGAAGTCAGAACCGGAATGCTTCTAGAGGTTAATTATTAACCCCAGGGTTTATTTTCTTTGGGAACATTTTGCAGGACATGTTTCTTGTTTATGTGAACGCAATTGTGTTATCTGACAGTTAGACTTGGACAGGGAATAACAACGGTTGAAAGAGGTCTACCGATGATGGGTTCCAGTCCAAGGAACGTCAATTATTGGACGGCGAGGCCGACATGCCCAGCGTAGTTTGTGTATATTTATGATAGAGGAGGATAAGCGTAGGGGTGGAAATTCTTGCTTCCTTGGTTTCAGTCAGTCATAAAAGTGTAGAATCAGTAGATGTTCATAGTGATTTTAGTTTTCTTTCACAATTTGTGGTTTCCCCTGGTAGGTGGATGTCGCCCAGATAGGTTGTATATGGAAATTGTCCATGTAGTTTGTGGCTTGTAGTGCAACGAAGGCTTTCAGAAGATTAATCATATAACCTGTTGCTGTTTTACCCATTTTAATGTTATGGATAAATCCTTTTCATAAATTGGTGGTTGCAATATTTTTCCTTCCAGTTTGGTCGTCTCCTGTCCAGACTACCACCATTACCGTGGCCATATCGCCGCCACCACTATTATCACTCATTTATTGATTCAAACCCAGCGAAGGATAAACTTTAAATTTCGTTATACTTAATAGGTTGGATAAGCAAGAAATTATACATTTTGGAATTTTAATTATTTTGTTTTCATAATTTAGAGATTCCTTGATACACAAATCGATTCTCTTGCTAGTCCAAATCGGAGCTGAAGCTTATTACTAATTATATCGTCTTACACTCGTGAAAAGATTGCTTAGGAATTGGAAACGAACCCCCTGGAAGGATGAAACATGAATAATATTGTTTTCCATGCGTGATAATTTTTACACGTGACGTAGCGTTATTATTGGCCAGGCATAATAAAATAGTTATCAGTGTTGCAAGAAGATGCAATTTCTACTCGCATCGCAACTTGTACAAGGGCATATTTAGTCCATCTACTCTACTCGGCCTTGGGACTAATTCTCTGCTGTTGGGTGCATTTTTGCTCATAATCCTAAACCACGGTGTAGCATCACCCCCTCTCCAATACACGCCTGCCATATGTAATATTGAGAGAAATTTCTTAATTAAAAAATAAAGAGATTTTTAGTTAAAAGCCTATTTTTGCATGATATATGATACAAATACCCATATAGAGTCTATTCGAAGAGAAGACCCAAAACTAGCAGCTACTTTTTTTAATTGGTTCTTAGTGTGTGAATTTTCTACGAACCAAATAGAAAATGACAGGTGACTAGTTTTGGGTTTCTCTAAATAGGTTCTATATGGGTACTTGTATAATATGTCATGTTAATATGAGCCTATTCATGAAAAGCACAAAAATAAAATGATTCAACTCCCAAGTTTCAATAGTTGAGTTCTAATTGTTCATGGTGCAAATTAGTAGTAGGGTTATTGTTCAGGGGCATTTTGGCAAACTTGCCTTTCATCAAGTCTAAGCCTTTTATTTTTGTGTACCTGAAAGTCCTACATATCAGAAGTCAAATAAAATGTCGGAAAGTTGAAATAAAATTGTTTGCCTTTGGGTTCACCAGTCAAAAAAGTTCATCACCCGTCAAACAAGTGATTTGAAGTAAAGTTAAAAGACATGGAAACTGGAAAGGAACTGGAGGCAGTGATGGCTAAAAATAAACGTGTTTACACTTGTGATCTCAAAGTGGAACCTAAAATGCAGAAGAAGAACAAAATTAAAGAAAAAGGCACTCGAAGTACTTGACTTTTGTTAATGCAACAGATGCTGGCAGCGATGGGTTTCTACCATAGCTACAGAGTTATTTACTAGCAAAACTATTTATGAACAATTGCAGCTCATTGAACCTCTCTCCTATACATGGATTCAATTCAGTCATTCACCAACCCAACCAAAGATATTGAACAGAAACCAGACATCACCTCCGAAATGCAGTGTGCCGTGGATATAATTTTGTGCTGGCAAGATGAAAAATTTGCCATGCTAAGGAAGCGGCAAGGTCACCCCTATACCCCAATTAATTTAGATACGAAATCCTTTCGACCACTAGCTTGTTGGCGTCTTTTTTAGTTTGCTTCATTTCTTCAACCCCTTAGTCTGCGAAAATTTCATCATCCTCATTATCTCCTACAGATATACGGTCCTTCCCAATTTTCCTCTTCATTGACATATGTCGTGCCTTCTCACCTGGATTCTCTACACTGTATGTACTTTTGGTTTTTCCTGCTGTGAGAAGATTTCCATCATTGCTTTTTGCAATATCTTTGAATGGTTTCTCGCAGACACAAGTCTCTGGAAATTCATGAAACTCGCCCCGACCAGGTTTCATCTCGTCAGGGTCACCCATGAATCCTTTTTGGCATGACTTTACCTTTTTTGCAAATGTGTCCCAGTCCATCTGATCCCTTGCCATGAACAAAGCACTGAGCCTCTTAGCATTTGGCCTGATGGTCCTCTTATGACCCATATACCTCCTACCAATGATGAAACAAATGCAGTAACATATGGTTAACAAATAACTCAGAAAAAGGAAATAATTAAATTAAATAAGCAGAAACAACTAGTAAAAATAGTTATACAACAATATCCATGATACCAAACTATACCGAAGATTTTCTGAGATCTACAGATTAAACATGAAGGTTCTCTCAATGAGGGTTTCAGTTGGGATAAATCTCCTTGTCATCAATGGATGTCAACCCAAGGTTATTCATCTGGGAAGTCAGTTGAACAAATATACACTAGACCACTAGCCAATATTAAAAGTTTACCTGGGGAGAGCAAGATCTTACAATCTGTAAGATTTGTTAACCATTTACTATATAAATCATTTGTAATCTTATATGCGTTTGAGCCTGGCTTAATAATTTCTATAGCTCCACTTGCTGCAGTTGGAATGATTTCAGTATTGAAAGGTTTTAATAGTATACTAGTACTCAATTTAAGTATAGGAAACTGCCAAATTTCTGCATAATCTAGCCGAAGTCTAAATTTTGGGGAACTACAGGAAAAATCATAATTCACACTGATACCTACAGATTTGCAAATCTACCCCCTGCTTGCTTCTGAACCAGAAAGTGGAATCTAGTTGTGAGATTCTTTAGTGTACATCATCTTAGTTGACTTCCACGGTATAACTTTCTACTGAGAGTTACTACAGTAAAGATGAAAGTAAAACAATAGCTAATGCAATAAAATCAAAAGCACCAGACTGGATGATGAACAGCTCTAAGTTCGTCTCCAAACACATATTTCACAGCCAATTGTAGGATTAGAATCCTATATCTAACAGAATCTAGTTTCAACTGGAAAGGACAATAAATTTTATAGTGCAAGTGATCGGGAGTTACATAGACATCCAAATGCCGAAGTACATCATGTGGGACGGTTAATGAAAGATTGATAAGATGTGTCAAAGTACTTGAAATCTTTATAATAAAAATATCAAATTAAAAGGCAATGCATTTGTTTATTTGGATTTTTCAAATTCTATCACTTGTGCTTGGGCAAAATTCTCAACTGTAGTTGAACACTGTCATACTTTGTTAGGTTTCTTGAGAGGGTAATAAATATGATTTGACAAATGCATTAGTTCAACCCAGAAAAAGCCTAATGAAAAAGTGAACTCGATTTCTAACCTTCGACCTGCGAGAATCTTGGCCATATTCCCGTTATTATTAGTGACAAACACATCACTTTCGTCAGAGACAATGTAGTCAATTGCAGCAAGACGGGAGGAGAATGGAAGAAAAGGTTTCAGCTCCTCATTAGCAAGCATCTCCTTTGTATAGAAATTTGGGAAGAGCTCTCTTAGAGGTCTCAAAGTCTCATCTCCGCCATATATTTCACCAGAAGCAACATAGAGATATGTGTCATTTGCAAAACCAAGTGCACGTAGCATCAAACCCACTTCATGAGGAGTCAGTGGACATTTTCCTCGCTTTCGCTCTTCCTCAGCATTTAAATCCTAAATGGATAATAAGAAAAATTCCACTGGTAGTCAAATTATAGTATATAGAGCCAACTGTACAATTATCACAAGCATTGTACAATGTAAATTATATATTGATAATTGCACTGCAATCACATAAGCTTCGTATAACTACAAAAGCATATCTTGTCAAGAATCAACTCATAAGAGCAAACAGTTACTAACATAATTCTTGTTGAGTTGAATATGAATAAATATTGTTCCATCGAAATTATAAAAGAATAGCAATCTCACAGGTAATGTCGCCCATCGTTTTCTTATTTCAGCAAACTCATATCTCTCTTTATCACCCCCGCCATAATAACACCCAGAAAATGCTAGCATATCAGGTTCAAACCTGTCATCCAAAATCCATAACAACAGAAATTGAATCATATGTATCAAGAAAATATAGCAGTTCTTTAAGAAGAAAATAGGTTTTGCATTCCCAAAGAGGTGGCTTTACCATTTCCATCTCCGGGTTTAACTTTATAATAAATTATGATGGTGATTGTAATATTTCAAAACATAGATATATATATATATATATATATATATATTCATGGGTATCCCAATGACACCATTTCCATTCCCAGCATTTTGAGACATTAGAGTGAATGATGCACTCCAAGAAATTCTAGAAATCCCATTCAAAGAAATGGGTATGAGATTCCCACAATTCCATTCTGCAAAACAAACACTATCTTAAAGATCTTGTAAGCAGAGGTGGCCTATACTCTCACTCCTAGCTTTGTTGACTTAAATGTGTGGGTAGCTTTCCAGCAAAACATAAAGGGTGTTTCCAAATATGACAAACTACACGCTGTATAAGTTCTTAATTGTGATATACCATGGCCATTTGCCAAGGTTTCAATAGGCAAATCTGAAGATCAACCAGTTTGATATGTTTTTATATCAGGGAATTTAAAAAAGAAAAAGAAACGTTTGTAGATGGTGATAGTCCACCAGGTACAAACTCACACAAATCTTGCAACTCAGTACAAATCAATGGTTAGTTGGGATCAATCTCTACTAACTAAAATGCTGGAAATTGGTAAACCTCCACCAGCATAGTTGAGAACGAAGCAGAAAGTGCATTAAACCCAGAAACTCCTAGTTCTCATGTTCTCTACTACTCTCCTCCAGGAGTACATGTATTGATCCAGAGCGACACCCAAACAATCAACCCAACAGAAGTTCACAAAGTCGCAATTATCATCTTTTGTCTGCACAGTTGTCCAACCAGAGGCAACAGCCTACCGAGGAAAGCAATCTCTATCCTCAGACACATGCTAATCTATTTACTTTCTAGCAACCCAGTGAACATACTGCATAACCAAGATAATATAAACATCCTTTCACATCCAAATGGAAAAGAAAAGGAAAATATATATATTGAGTGTAGAACGCAACTGGAACAAGTATGTGCTCTGTATAGAGTTTTATCCTCCATGAACATTACATGCAGGTTGAATTTAAAATTATCAGCTATGTTCTATATTGATAGGCAATCGAAACAAACCTCAAGTGAACAGCAATGAAACGTTTTTCCATCCTTCGCATTCTCATGACAAGTTTCTGACCGAGTTCATGTATGGATTTTGTAAATTTAAGTGCATGATAATTAACACGACATCGCAACTTTTGCAGTTCGTCGTCAAGGTTACTTGAAAGTCTATAATCAAACTTTGTCAACTGCACAACCTGCAAAATAGCCCCAAGTGTTAATTGCCCTTCTGAAACAGACTACAAGATTTTACTAAAATTCATAAGTACACAACTTAGAAGAAGAAAAAAGAAAAAAGATCAAAATATTGGATTGTGCATATCTTTTACTGTTTTACACAATTGAATAAGATAGAATTCATCAGATATCGGCAAAGGGGTCTTACACGTCTCCTCAAAAGTATTGGGAGAACTTGCTCGATATAATATTCAGGTTCAGATTTCCTTGGGACACGCATTGTATATGGAGGTTTGTCCATGTTCCGCATGACTTTCTCAGGAACTCTCCGGACAATAGTCACATCTTTTGCAAGATAAGACATAAACCAATCGACATCAAAAATGTGGATAAAGTCACTGCATGCAAAATTAGCGTATTTAATAGGATGATAACTGGAAGAGCCAATTTTCACAACCACTAGCATGAAAACAAATTCAAAAAATAATAACATAAAACTCTAGCTGATGGGGTTAAAACATTGATAGAATCACATTACCTATCATCCTTCCAATAGGAATGATGATCCAGCTCAGGTACAACTAAAGTAGCATTAAGAATTCGAGCAACAACCACAGCATCTGTTATCTGATTGCAGGAAATAAGTTGTCATTTTTGGCAACGTGAAAACAAATAACTACTTGAGTAGAATAACAAAAATTTCAGAAAGCAAAAACCAGAACCCAAGTCTTATTTTCTTTGTTGGGTCTCACTACTCAGAGAAAAATATACAAAAATGTAGCTGAACATGAAAACAATGTGACTTACTCCTGTTCTTTGTTGGTTCAACCCCCCACTCGTAGCAATCAGCAGATACCCATTTGATGCTCGCTCTTTTACAGCAGCTAAATTCAACATATAAATACTGTACATTAAAAACACAACCATAACAATGGCAAATTCAGAATGCAAACATGAAATATGTAAATCGAACTCACGAGCATAACGAGGACCTCTTTGACTGCATCCGTAGTAGAATTTCGAGTACTTGGACTTCCAAACATCAATTGCCTCACGACCATTCCCATTCTAAACTCAAAACCGAACAAATTTTTTATTATTTTTTTAATTTGAATTAAAAATGACCCCTTGAACAAAAATTAAAATTGAAGGTTGAAAAAAAAAAAAAAAAAAAAAAAAAAAAAAAAAAGGGTACCCAGTACCAGCTTGGAGTAGTAGAGGGTGTTCTTGACCAAGCGCTGAGAGTACCACTCGAGATCAGATGCCACATGGCCAGTGAAGAGCGAAATCAGGCCCAGCCCAAACAGCATCAGCCCACACACCAACGACCACGACCACGACACCGTCTGCTTTCTCTGGCTCAGCGACGACGTCGTTTTGGTGATGGTGGTGGCGGTGGTGGCCGTGGCTGATGATTTCAAGCTGAGCACCTGCTTCTCACCATTGTTGTAACCGTTATGTAACAGAGCCAGCTTCGCTGCTGCCGGTGTCAAGCTGAACCTCCACGCCTTCGCCACGCCCATCCAAAACCGCCCTCACTTTTCCAACTTATTCACTGAAAATGCCATTCGTCCTCCGATTCATGCTTCTCTGTGATCAGATTGTTCAAGGGGAGCAGGGGTGCTGTTGCGGAGAGGAAAATGAGGAAGGGAAGGGTAGCTGGTGTAAATAATGCGAATGTGTGGGGGTCGAATGTTTGCTCAATTTGGAGGGCAAACCCTAGCTAGCTAGTGCGCGGTTCGAGACAAGGATCACTGTGCAGCTTTTGAGATGTGTTGCGAGAGACAGTGGAGATCTTTAGAGAGAGAGAGAGGGAGAGAGTGCGTGTCACTGTTTATGAGGAAGAGAATGAAGCTTGTTTTATTTTACTTTACTTCATAGTTTATTTATCACCAAGTATATTTAATAGTGGATAAGTGACGCAAATTAAAAAACAGAAAAATTAACTAAATTAAATATTCTTTCCTTTTTTTCTTTTATTTATTTATTTATAAGTGAAGCATGTGTTTTGTTGACTAATTTATACGGAAAAATAGCAGATAGAATTTTACATGGGCAAAATTGGAATAATGGAATTTAAAAAGGGTAAAATGGGAATATGAAAATTAATAGGTGTATTGAAACATGATGAATTATTGGATCCATGTATGGTGAAAGGGGGAGGAGGGTCAAGTGATGAAATGAATACATGTTGACCTAAAAAGAGAGGTCTATGATTAAGATATGATTTAATTTAAGTGTCTAACTTGATTAGGGTTGTTTAATTATTTAATTACATTAATCTTTGTCATGTAGGTTTGCTTTTATTGTGTTTTTAGGGTTCCTTTTTCTTCATCACCAAATTCTAAATTGAGGCATGCCCTAAATGCACTCTTTCTCCTATGGGTGTGTGTGTGCGTTGCTTGCAAGGCTCATATGCTTGAGAAACAAAACAAAGCATGTTCCATGTGGGCTTGCTAACTTTGTTAAAGGGGAAGTTAAAAGGATGTCAAAAGAGCTTCGGGACCAATTAGTTTGAACTTTCAATTTTTCACCCCAAAAAAAAAGGATGTCAAAAGAGCCTTTGGATTGGCCTTAGAAGCAAGAAACAACATCCTTTTTGAAAGAAAGCGACATGTCTATCTATAACATAAGCAACAACACATGTAGTATTCCAAGATACTTGCTACTTAGTATTTTGATAAGTCAATTACCAACGTTTTTAACCATTGAGTTAAGATTCTTTTACTTAACATGATTATAAAAAAATTGAGTTTGTAAGAAGATGGGGCATATATTTATCATTTTCATCCACCGTTTAGAACATGGTAAATTATTTATGTATAATACTTGGTAATAAATTTATTAATTTAGTAACTTAAGGTGTTTAAGCATTTCTAGTGATATATCCATAAATTTGTCTTGTGGGGTGGAAAAAAACAATCTACTTTTTTATTTTTCTGAAAGAAATGCAATAGATTGCATTTATAATTCAGGTCTAAAGGTTGTCAGTCACAAAGACCAATAAATATACAAATAATCACATAGGATTAATAAAAATAGGGAAGCATAGTAAACCACAAGGGGTTAATCCAAATATGGAGGAGTCCACCAGCAACAACAAGCACACAAGGTGTACCTCCACTCTTAGTCACACATGGCCTAAGAAATTCCAACAAAAAAGCTATAAGCTTGGAAAAACCATACATATACCTCATTGCACCAAACTACAACTACAACTACAATATTTTAACTCTCGCAAGTGAAAAATACAAGTAGAGACTAGAAACACGTAACAAACTCATAAAGAGTTGATGCATTTATTACAACTCAAAAAACTGCAACACAAAAAAAGTATTAAAAAAAAATCAACCTACAACCACGTGGTCACCAAGACAGCCAAGGCAGATGGTTTTGAAGGGATGGACAAGGAGCAGAAGAGGAGAGAGATGGAGGCCACCAACTCCCAAAAGAGGCGGCAACGGGAATTTCTATATCTTAGGGTTTCAAAAATATGAATTAAAATATATATATAACATACGTCTTATCTCAACATCTTTCAAGCATTTTATTGAGCATCTTGCTCACACCTTAATGAAATTATCAATGAAGACGATATGCCAAATTAGTAAGAGCATACTCGTATTATAACATAAGTGAATTGATTATACCATATGACGGTGTGACTTTTACACTGAAAAATTATTACTTTATTAGAGACTCACTACATACATGACACTAAAAATGAAACCCACTAAGCAAAAGAAAATCACTTGGACTACGAAAGTTGAACTCAATTGAAGGGTTTACATTCTTTGCATGTGTGAGATGTGCACTATCGTTTTGACAACCATCAATGGAATATGTATTAGCAAGGAAAATGGTGGTCCAAGGTTTTCCTCCAAACACCAAAGTTGAGCCACACACAAGGTTTGGTTTAAGCATCAAGTCTTAAAACTTTTAGGGGCACCGAAAAGTGCATCATAAGTCATTAACAGCACTATAGCGACCGCTAAAAATTGTTCTTTGAGAAGTGACACAGTGTCCCTAGCCACCTATCCTTCTCTAAAATCTATTCCTTTATCAAAAGAAGCAAATTAAAATGTCTTTTTTGGGGCGAATCGGTGGGTTTTTGCTTAGAAATACATCCTGGAGTTGGACCCATAACACGGATGATGGTTAATGATGACATTATATTAAGAAACCAATATCTTCATTATGTTGTTGATAGCGATTGACTAAACATGTAATATGAAAATTACGAGTATCCCTTGTCTGAGAGATATTGTGGGGCTCTCTCCACATTCCGTTTTAATATGACCCATACTGTATATTTTTTAAGTCTTCATTCATTAATTGTCGATTTTTAAGAAAAATTATGCAAATCGAAAACCGTTAAGGCATGTAATTGTGATGGAACAAAATAGACCGATAAATTTTTTTCTTTCTTTCAAGAAAGGTTAAAATGACTACATTCTAATCAAATGGTCATCAATTACAATTTTGTTGATAGGACATATGAATTAAAACTTGAAAGTTAAATTGTCGATTCATTGATATACAATGTAAAGTGGGTCCTACAAAGATGAAGGATCATTTAATTGAAACTTCCTCCTTAGTAGCTAAACTCTTTAAAAAAAATATTGCTCGTGATAAATATGTATTATCAATGACCATTTAGTCTAGTGATATTCAGTCCTCTCGTAAATTACATTTAATTCACATTTTAGGGATGATAATTGCTAAATTATACATGAGGCACCGGATCAAGACACACGTGATGAGATGAAGATTTTTCTTCTTGCCCTTGATTGTATTGATTAATTATTATATTTGTTGCATGTTGGTTTGGTGACCTGCATGCAAAACTTATGTATATTTTAACAAAAACCCAGAAATCCAAGCATTACCTGGAGTAGATAGATAGATGGGTGTTGAAATTTATGAGACATGAGATGAAGCCGTAAAGCAACATGCTGGCTGCATTTATGGACCAACATGATATTAGCTCATGCTCATCTTCCTTAATTGAGTTGGGTTGACCTTGTCAATTATTCCGTAATTATAATTACGGATTTGTGAGTGTGAGTCCGTGAGACATCGCGTTGTCATCAAAGTCGCGGTCAAACGTACGAGCATGTGCATATCCTACACACACATATTTTGCCAATTGGCACTCCTTAATTCCAACTCAAATTCACAAATTTAGACTGTTATTATCATATTCGAACTTGATATATCTTTCAAGAAGATTCGACATTAAAAATATAATTTGATATGATATTAACGGCTAAAATTTGAGACTTACTTTGGTGTCATGGTCATTTTAGGCAGAAGTGTGGTACTGTAAATCGAACTTAAGAGTTCACGTGCACTGTTAAATGCTCTTAAACCACTTGGGTTACAAGCCATTGCAATGGAGGTTTAACTATAAGAAAGTGTGTTAGCTCAAAGTGAAATTAATTAGAACAAGTAGTGCCTGGCCGGCTGGATTAAAGCAAAAAGGTGTTAGGTGCCAGATTAATAGAGCTATGGCTATGGACATAGAGGTATCACCAAAATGGTGCCCATCTATATAATTATATAGTGGCTGGCCCCAGCTTTGAGCAATCATTTATTATTTATGCATTTTCTCTGTTCGTACTTGTCCCTTTCATTTAAAGCTTCTTGCATAGCAGCCATTAAAGCGCAGAGCGCTATGTAGCTTCTGGAGAGAAGCAAGAACGAGTGGGGGGCCTTTCATTCATTCCTATACAAAGCCAGTACCGGTCACGTGATATCACGTGACAGGTGGGCTCTCCATGCACGATTTGTATACGCATAATGCATTTCATATCAATTGCTTGGAACAATTCTGGACGTCTGGCAGGCTGCTAGACAAGAAGAATATATGGTGAATGTTCTATTGGGCTTGGCCCAAATGTGATAGAAGTAGGTCCAACTTCTAATTATTGGCAAACTTAATTGTATTCTCCTGCTCGGAGTAATGTTTTCTCACCAGATTTATGTACGACAATATGACACGAGAACATTTCATTGTTTATTGAATACGTTGTGTTCGTATATTTATTTGGTCACGATTAGATAATTAAATATTATTCGATTTGAATTGGCAAAAACAAGTGGTCAACATAAATTGGTACTGTAAGCTCACAAGTGGAAATTGGTTCATTTGTGGAAGGAACACTCAGCTTAGAGATTGGTACTTTGAAGTTTAAAATTGGTACTTTTGGATTTCGGGGGTAATGGTCTACCTTGGCCTTCATTAGTCTAAACATCATGATGATTAGAAGACCCTTTTAAGACTTTACCTTTAGATTCTTGGAGCTGATCATCGTTCATAGTGCTTTAATTACTCAAAACCCTAATCATTGCTTAATTTAATTTCAACCTCTAAAACACTAAAGTATTTCCATCAAATAATTATTTTCCTCATATGAGTTCGCCCACATGTGAACCTTTCCGCCAGTAATAAATTAGGGTTTCTTTATAGATTTTTTTAATTATAAAAAAAAATAAATAAATAAATAAATAAACTGCTAAGGGGTTCGAAGTCCTAAAAAAAGAAGAAGATATTTAGTTAGGTCATCTCCAGCCATGGGCTATATACCAAATATAGCCCTAAAATAATGCAAAACTCATCTCCAACAATGGACTAAACAAAATTTTGGCCAAATTTGGAGGGCCATATTTGGCCATTTAGCCCTCCAACAGGGCCACATTTAGCCCAACTTTGGCCTAGTCTTAAGCCAAAATTTTTGTGGGCTCCATGCATATGTTTTTCATTGATGATGTCAGTTGGATATATATATATATATATATATATCTAAAAGCCTTTTTAAATGTTTTCAATTCGTAAAAAAATTATAAAAATTTATTGGTCATGACCATTGGATGTCTTTAAAAAAAATGTAGTCACATTTTCAAATGTTTTAAGTGTTGTTTAAAAAAATTATAAAAAATTCTTGGTCATGAAATATTTTCTCTAAATAGTAATTAAATTAAACAATACATAGTTGTGGAATGTATGTGTTGTACCATAGTTTTTCTCAAAATAATAAAATATGAAGGACCCTAATATAGCCCTGCTTGAGTAGAGATGGAAAAATTTAGCCCTACACTATTCTTTAAACAACTAATATTTTGGAGGGCTAAATTTTTAATCCTGGACTACATTTAGTCCTATGACTGGAGATTACCTTATATATCAATTCTTAGCACGAGTGATATAGATAAACCCTACACTATTTAATTTCTACAAACAAACCCAAAAAATGACAGTTGATCCTATTGAATTTAATTTTGATTATTAAATTACTTTGAAGCCCTTTTGAGTGTTTTGAGTTTTTTTTAATGACGTTTTGGGGTTGGACTTGTTTTAAGAAATCAATGGCAGTTTTGTAATTTACAACAAGTTAAAAGCCTCTTTTTTATATTGTAAATTGACTTTGGGTGTCTAAAGTCCATTTCATATATATATATATATATATATATATATATTTTAATAATTTAAGCCCCTATATTAGGTATAATAATGAATCTCCCAAAAAAAGGAAAAAACCTATGCGACCACCAAACATTTGGGCTGTCGTGAGTAGTCTGACGTGGCGAAGCTCAAACATTTGGACTCATTTTAAGGCTTGTCAGAGCTGGGCAGCATTTTAATCAGCCAATTTCACAGTTGGGCTTTATTTTGTTTATCTAGCCATGATTTTTCCTTCCAAAAAGAAAAAAAGCCCAGGTTTTTTTTTGGTAAAAATTCAAAAAATAAAATAAAATTAGTAACCATAATAAACATGTTTACCATGTAAAATACTAATTTCATTTTGCTTATAATTAGCCAAGTCTTAATGCTTGAACTACAAAATTAAACCTGCGGTCTAATATTAATCTTGTTGAACAACCAAAGTTGGTTGTTGCCATAGTATTTGATAGTTTCATGAAATGGGTGAAATGGTCTTCTTGTTTTCTACTACCTTAACCTTCCAAATGTGCCAACCACAATTGTCTCTGTCATCTGATTCGTTATGGTTCCCTTAACCAGGGGGTTGATGAAAATTCCGTCTGCGTTTATATTTGATTGTTGGGTCGCCATTTTCAAGTTGCCAAGCAGCCGCTTAAGACACCCAAGTCCCAATCTTTGTACAAGTCCCTTATATTTCCTTTTCATTATCGTGAGATATTTTTATGAACAAAGGTGTCATGAGGTGAATTTAAGACCACTAGTTCGCAAGTCAAGACCATTTTTGAATCCGTTGGCAGCACACTGTCTTGATTAACTGATCTAATCCATGTATGTATATATATTTTTAATTATTAATTACTTAATAAAAGAATTTTTAAAAGTCAACTTATTTTTTATGAACAAAGGTCAAAATCTTTGAAGATTGCGGATTGTTGGTAAGTGGTTTGAAATGAGCAATTTCTTGACAAAGCCAAGAGAGTAACAAAAATGTGTTGGAATTGGCACCCAAGCATTAGGTAAAAAAAGAAGATATATAATTAGAACAAAAGGGCATTATTAATAGTGGCGAGAAATGTGTTTGATAACCAATAATCACCGGCATAAACTATTCATAGTGGCTTATTTCAGTGTAGTTGCGTCAGCCTTCATATAATAACTTCGAAGATTTGTCTTCTGAAAGCGAAATTATGGAAAAGGAAGGGAGACCCTTTAGGCCACCAATAAAAAACAAATAGAAACACCATGATTAGACGCACACTTATGCATATAATTTTACCACAAAAGACATGTGTATCAGTATATATTTTTATACCCAATTACGATCTACATATCGATAAAAGTTTGTTTCTACCGCGGTGTTGTGTGATGGTACTGTCCAATTACAAGACGCCATAACTTTAAGAAATAAAATATATGGTTATCAAAACTTGAATACGTGCTATCTTTTTTCTCCCAGAAAAAGAAAAAGTCTTATCTTTAAAATTGTTCTTTTATTGTCGATGAAGGTTGGTTTAGTTGGTAGGTATATGGTCTATGCACTGTGTGTAGCCCCATCAGTGTTCGAGTTCCGTTGCCAGCAGTCCTCGTTGGTGTGTGATATGTAATTTCCTACATAAGTCCATATCCGTGGCAATTGGCAATTGAATACTACACATAAGTCCTTCAGGCTCAAGGTTGTGGGCAGTGATGGAACTATTAAGGCGCAAAAAGGTGCATAATTCCTTATTTATACGAGATTGTGAGCTCTCTTTATTTAATTAGGCATGCACAATTCCTTATTTAAGTGGGATTGTGAATTCTTTTTATAAAGGACCAATTTAACATCACCTAATTTTATCTTAGTGTGTGTGCATGACAAGAATCCTACTTTTTTTTTTCCTTCTATAGTACGCCAATTCAAAATAAGTCAGATGCATAATTTTTTCTTCTTGAGCAAACACCAATTTTGTTATTCATTTTGTTGTTGTTGAGCTCTTAGCATTTAAAAATTGCACCTCTGCTGAAAAATTATTGGGTCAATCAGTAGAGAGTTTTCATGTCATTACGTGTTTAGTGAAATTAAAATGCATTGAATCGTGAGGTGGGTCTTGACTCGTTGAATTTCAATCTTGACCACAAGTCCTTTTCTCTCGCGTTGAATTTACTTGGGAAAAAACGTCCGGATGATCAGTTCATACGTTGCTTAATGGTCTGTCCTAAGATGAAGAAATTGTCTTGTACAACAAGTTAAGCCCAAAAAACAGAACCCCTCATTGCTAGAAACTGATTTCCCAAGACCAATCGATGGTATAGATGAATGAAAAATCACCTAATTTGGTGAACAAAAAGAGTACTATACAAAACTGATCAACTAACTTGATCTGCTAAGTGAATTTTCACATTTTTAAACATTTCTTTTTCTTAATTTCCCCAAATAAACCAGTCCTTAATCAACAGAAAACAGACCTAGTGGTTTACCCATCATTGGCTCTTGAAAGTCAGAATCTCCAACTAAATTGCAAACACGGCAGAATCTTCTTAACTTATCTCCCCATCATCATTTGAATTTCTAGTGCTCTTCTCCCCTCGATACCACCTACAAACTTTCGATAATTCTTATTCAGATTATTAAAATTCATCAGCTGTTTTTTTAATTTTATTTATAAAGTTCATTTCTTAATCCTTTTCCTCCATGCCATCAATCAATAAAGCCTATGTTCTTTTTCCCCCTTGTTGCAATCCCAAGGCTCAAATCCCGAAATAACTGACACACAATCCCACAAAATCCAATCATGTTTCCGTTTTTGAGCTGCGACTCTTTCTTCCTGTTGTTGTGCCTCTGTATTCTCTGTTTTTCCCGCCCTTGCTTTCCCGCCAGAATCTTACCCAACTCAGTAACTGTCTTAACCGCCGCCTCCGACGTCCACAACGCCACGTGGCACGACTTCGAGAGGTTCCTGGATGCCGGGAGAGGGAGCCAGGTCAGAGGCATGTCGGAGCTCAAGAACTACTTCCACCGGTTTGGCTACTTGCCCAATTCCAACTTCACTGATATATTCGACACCGATTTCGAATCGGCCCTGACGCTCTATCAGTCCAAGCTGAGCCTGCCAGTTACGGGAAGGCTCGACTCAGACACCATCTCGGCGATCATTTCACCGAGATGTGGCGTTAGTGACGCGTCGCAGCAAACTGCTCTTCATGCGACGCGTCGCTTTGCCTTCTTCAATGGAAAGCCCAGGTGGGTCCGCCGCAACCCGGTGACGCTCTCTTATGCTCTGTCCCCCAACAATATGATCAGCTACTTGAGCTCCTCGGACGTCCAAGACATCTTTCGCCGTTCTTTTTCGCGGTGGTCGGCGGTGATCCCCGTGAACTTCACTGAGGCGGAGACCTACGAGTCGGCAGATATAAAAATCGGGTTCTACCGGGGCGACCACGGTGATGGGGAGCCGTTCGACGGGGTGCTGGGGGTGCTGGCGCACGCTTTCTCCCCAGAGAACGGGAGGTTCCACCTGGACGCGGCGGAATCCTGGGCCGTTGATTTCAAAAAGGACAAGTCGAAGGCGGCCGTTGATTTGGAGTCGGTAGCGACCCATGAGATCGGGCATGTACTTGGGCTGGCTCACTCCTCGGTCAGGGAGGCTGTGATGTACCCGAGTTTGACTCCGAGGACCAAGAAGGTGGACCTCAGGATTGATGACGTGGAAGGCGTCCAAGCTTTGTATGGGTCAAACCCTAATTTCAAGATTAGCTCCTTGCAGAGTGAAAATTCTTACAACCATGCAGTTGCTTTGGACACCAGATCATCTTTTAAGTTGGCAATTTCTTTAACACTTCTCATCACTTTGATGTTGTGTTTGGCCACATGAATTGGTAGCTAGCTAGCCTCCACTTTTTTTTTCTTTTAAATTGGTTTAATTTATTGATTTTTATACCTGTAATTTTTTTTAATTGAAATTGTATAATCAACAATACTCAAAGAAAGTAAAAGAATTCTTTTATATCATCGTCATGTGTTTTTGATACAAACGATATTATAAGAGAGGGAGATTCAAACACAGAACCTTTAGCGCATAGCTACGTGAACTACAAAGCGTTGTATCATTGTCATGTGTTTGATTTGGGAATATGGTGACATGGATTATATTGGGATCATAAACTGTAAAAACTTTTTTATGGACTTTATGTTTGTGTCTATAAAAGAAGACAGAAGGGGAAAAAAAAGCCATAAAGGGAGAACAAAAAGAAAAGGTGAAGTATGAAAGTGGTCAAAATGGAGAATGAGAGGTCAATGGTCGTGTCTTAAAGCTGTGGATTAATTAATCCTAGTGAGAATGGTATGTTGTGATGAGAGGGGAAAGTCCTACCTGCCCAATTTGAATTCGGATTTGCAACTTCATGGGAATTGCAAAGAATATATGCTTAACCTGAGATTGCGGGGGAAACGAAGGTATCACTTACAGCCCAAGAGATAAATTGTACCAGTCTCTCACAGAAGTCTCACAGAAGTCAGAAGGCACATCTTAACGTGCATGGGAGGAATTATAAGCTTGCTGCAAAGGGAAAAGTAACTTGAACCAGACCATCTTGGCTTTAATTAAGATGAGTTTTAGACTTGACAAATTAAGTAAGATATGCCTTAATGGATTCAAAGTTTTTTGTTTTTGTTTTTATAAAAAAATATACATGAAAAAAATACATGAAATCGATTATATGATATCAAGTACAGAGATAAATAAATTTAACCACTCGAGTTATAAATTATTTTCAATTAATTTAAAGTTTCATAAGAAAGATTCCATGAAAAAAGGAAAAGAAAAGAATTGACCCCCCCCAAAACCCCAAATGCCCCATATAAAATTACAAAACAAGTGATGTATTCATTTGCCATGGTTCACACATCCAGTCAAACTTGATATGGTTTGGAATATGAGAGTGCCATTGATTAGGACCAGAAACCATGCGGTAGACTGACTTTTCATCTTCTAGGAAAATGGGGTAGGCTTATGCATGCACTCCCTTATTACATATAACAGTTGTTTTTGTTCCAATTAGAATTGAGGTGTACACCATCTATATATATTATATAGCAAAGCAAGTTGACATATCACGACATGGAAATGCCATTATTTGATCTTCTTTTGGGCAAGTGGAAGAGGAACCATTTGAAAGTAGATTTATGCAGTGGAGTGAGCTTTTAGTCAACAAGCATGCAAAACCAAAACCAACCACACCAAAAATGCAGCATTTTTTTTTATAATGCAAGTTGGAAATATGATCCCAAAAACGTTAAGTATATGATAAGATTGTATTTTGGGGAGATTTTCAAAGTGTAAACATTTGTACTGTGTGAATGTGATTATTTGGAAGATCACGCAACGGTTTGAATAGGGTCTAGCTTAGTGAAAAATGGTCTTAACTTTCAGATCATAAATTTCAGGTTTGAACCCTTATAACATCTTAGTTGTGTCCGTGTGTAAGAAATCGCTCTCCCCGGTAGTTTAGTACTCAAAAGAATTTCGAATTTTTGATTAAAAAGACAGCATTAGTCAATCCTAAGCCCAACTAAAACAAAAAGATCAAAGCCCAAAAGATCTGTACCCAAGCCCAAAACCAATTACAACAAGCAACACATCTATTCACTGAGCTTATGCTGCTAAAACCCTAAACCCTTTTGAAAACCATTACTCAGATCTGATCTCATCTGCTCGTTCAATCATTCCTCCACCCTCAAACCCCTGTAATGGCTTCAGCCTGCAGGCAGTTCGCCAACAGAGCATCCCTATCGTCCATTCGATCCGCCATCAGATCGAACGCCCCAAAATCTCCCACCTCACGCTTCCCTCTCCCGACATCCACACCCTCTAGTCCTCTTTGCCGTTCCTCACTCTCAAGGTCTGTGTTTTTAAGGGGTTCATATTCATATTTATTTATTTATTTCTTAATTGAGATTTTTAACATCTGGGTTTGGATTGTTGCTGTGCGTTTTGTTTGGGGCAGGCCTCCGGGTGCACTGGGATGCGTGCAATCACTACTGCCACTCCACAGCGCGGTGGCGGCGGCGAGAATGACGTCGTCTCTGAGCATCACATGGAGGAGTTGCCGTGCGCTCTCACAGGGTACTCTCTGCCGCACCTCTCCCGGCCTCTAATAAAAAAAATTTGCTTTCTTTTCTAACTGTGAGTCACTTTTGCTACTTCCACCATTGTAATAATTTGTAGTTCTTTCAATCCCATATCTTCATTTTTGCGTTTGCTCACTTGGGTTCTCTTCAGAATTTGATTTTGCCTCATTGTTGCTGTTGAGTTTTGCATTGATTTCTCTGTGCCCACCTGGTTATGATTTGTTGTCTCCCTCTCGAAATGTATGTTTTTGTGTGGGCTTGAACTTGTAGACTGCCTTGGACAATTTAATAGATGGTTTGAGTCTTAGCATAGAAGTTTTACTTCTGAGTAACTCAAACTAGGTTGTTGTGTCTTTGAAAATATGAGCATTCTTAGAGACATTTCTCCATGTAAGATTGGCTCATTGGGTATTTTTTTAGAGCTTGTTGGATGTGTCCTGGGAAGGCGATGAGGCTGTAGTTTTGAGAATAAGACAATTTGGGGCAATGAAAATCAAGGTCGAAATGCTTTTCATAGGGTATGTTATCTGACTGGAATATTTGGTTCCTGCAGGCACATAACATTATGCTTGAAAGAAAAAAACTGGACCTGGTAGTTAAGGCCTGCTGCGTCATTATCAAGTACGAAACTATGAGTTTTCCCTTAGAACCATAAAAATGTTTAACTATGTGCGTTTAGAGACTTATATTTCGCCTATGGCTTGATTTGTCACTTTTGATGATTGTACCAGCAGTTGCCACATTGTGGCCTCTGCGTTATGCGCATTGACGTTCAATTTTGATCCCTTTAGTTGTATCAATGACAAGGTAGGAATGTCTACCAATTAATATAGGATGGTATTATGATGAAAAGTTTCTATTAGGCTGTGGCACTCATAATTTATCATATTCTAGCCGTATCGCCACTGCTACTCCATCTGCTTTCTTTTTTCTATATATTTTGGGTTTGAAGTGAGCATGTTGAGACATTCTACAGCAAATTCATTTTCTTGAAAATTATAACTAATGGGTTAAGTTTAATGCTAATTCAGCAAGATGATATGATGATCTAAAGGGGAGAGCAAAATAAAATTTTGAGTGCAAACATTTTGCCTCAAGTTTGTTGAACTTATATAGCATACCATGTCTAAATAAATAAGAACACGTTGATAACATAGCTGCTCCTTTTCCCAGATGGAATTGATGGTACGTGACACATGTATGCTGTATATGGAGGTGGGCGCTGCCATTTATGCTCATTGTGTCTGACTTAAAACATTGAGGAAAACTAGATATATGTACATGCTGATCAGTTATTATTGGATTATGTTCCTAGCCATTTGTATTCTGAAAGCAAGCTTTAGTGGATGCTGGAAAGTTTCGCTTACTTTTCTGTAGAACATCATAAATTGTCCACTGGATCACGTTTCTTGAGCTGTTTTAGTGGAGTCTTTTTTGATTGGGTCTTTTGATTAATGAAATTGGACTGGCACGATTTCTGCATTATTCTCTGAGTTATAGATGGCTTCACTTTACGTGTTCCTAATTTGAGTCTTTGTATTCTTTGATGATCCAGAGCTTGGTCTGTCAGTTCCAAGGTGATTCGTAGCAGGTTGTGTCACCATTACAAGAAGTTAGCTTCACAAGAATGGAAAAGCAAAGATTTTGTATTTTTATTTATTCAAACCCTTTCACAGAACTGAAGCTAAATTCGATTCTTCCTACAAGACAGGATGTTAGCGGCTGTTAAATAATAATTCAGTTGGCATGTTCAATACTAAATTTTTATGCATCTCTGATTTGGAATATAAGTCCACGTCTTTCCACGATATCCTGGCCGCCTTATGGCGAGCATACCATGCTTGATGCGATTACTTCTATGTTTAAATCGAAACCCATGTAATCTTAAGGTCCAGCGTTCTTCATGTTGTTGGACAAGTTGTAATAAATTTGGTTTCATGTTTTTGAGTGTTATTCAATTTTAAGTGTCAAATTCATCGTAGCCATGGCAGAATGCACAGTAATCGAACAAATCTGTACTAAATTCAACCGGCATGTCAGTGTCTGTTCTATTTGTTGCTTCTTCACAAGTGAACGATTAACCAACGTTCGAAGCTGAAGAAAGCACAGTTGGCCACAGGCACCTAAAACTGCCGTCAAACGTACGAAGTCTCGGGAAATTTCAGACCTTTCTCGGTGAACAAACAAGCAAACAAAACGCTTTACAGAACCGCCCAGAATGAACATATCCAGAAGTCACAGAATTCCAAGAGACTACCACTTCGCCTCTAGAGCCAACCCTAATATAAACATCAATAGGAAAGTGGAGACAAAGACAATGGAGTGAATCAACTTGATCAAACAAAATTCGTGACACTATATAATACATGCAGCTGAAATTCTTGCCAATGTTTGCCATTAGACATGTTGATGGCTTTTATGCACAAAATTTCAGCTCAAGACCAAGTTATTCTGAATAATTGACCAGATATATTTTGGTTCGAATAAATATATAGTTCAGATTTTATATTACAATCCAGAATTGTTGTATTTATTACAAAGCAAAAATGCTGATCATATCACATTTATGTGCAAAATAAGCAAAAAGTAATTTTCCTCATAGATTTTTGTCGCAACTAGTTATTTATTTTCTCTAGATCTAAAAAGTATGGTAATTTGAATAGCACAATCACAAACTAAGACCCAAAAGAATGACAAACTCATATGAGGAATATCATCTACATTTTGATTGTATTCAATTGGGATTTTAAAAGATTATTTTGGGATAAATAAGTCTTGTGATATTCAATTTAAGACTTTTAAATATACAAATTTATAAATAAACCCAATCCTAGACATGTATTTATAAAAAAACCCAAGCACTATTTAAACATAGAAACACACCCAAAATCAACCCAAAAGTCAACTTTTGGGTGTGTTTATAAATGGGTTTTGAGTGTGTGTAATGATGGATTTTGGGTGTGTTTATATGTTTAAATAGTGTTTAAATATGTCTTACGGTATTTCATTAAGACTATTAGGATTTTTAAAAGAGAGTATCGAAATCTAGTGGTAGGTATAAATACCAAAATCCTATCTCAAATCCCACCCCTAAGAGCATCTTCATTGCAGGGGTGTAAAGGGAGATGTAAATGACATTTATACCCAAAGTTGCCGGAAGTTGCTCCAATGGTGGGGTGTAAATGATTGTAAATATAACATTTGGCCGGAAAATGTAATTTAAAAAAAGGACATTTACATCTGATTTTACATACCCATTTGATGGGCCTCCCAAGTTGAAACAGAGGAGAGATAATGCAAAAGTGGTGGGCTCCAAATATATAAAATGTGAGATAGCTACCAAAATACCAGAAATATCATTTTGCTTCAACTGGATATAAAATAATTTATTTTCATGTCATTTTTACATCTCCAATTTATACTCTCCCATTGGAGGAAAAACGACATTTACATCTCCCGGATGTGTAAATGAGATATAAATGTGGCGTTACACACCCAATTTACACCTCTTGCAATGAAGATGCTCTAACCCATCAGATTTTTCATGTGGGATTTTTTTCTCCATTGAAGAAGATGAACACTCTGAACCATATCTCTGCTGAACCTTTCCACTAGGGAGAGCTCTAAAGAAAAGTAAACTTGCTATTTTCAATTCATGATGATTTCGTCTTCTGCTGGGTATTTGTTCTGTTTTATTGTTATATTTAACTCCTTTTGTGGTCAATTTGACTGAATGTGTCATTACATCCATTCTTTATTTTGAGCTAGTTCTTTATTCTGTGTTTGGTTGCCAAGAAAACTAAGGGTAAAACCCGGAAAGGACAAAAGTAATTCTTAATTTTAATCTTTGTTATGTGTTTTGTTATTCAAAGTTTGTGAACCTTTTTGGAATTGAAAATGAAAGCAAGCTATAGAATAAAATAATTGCTGGTGCAATCGGAAAACGAAGGGAGGAGAAATAGGGATGAAAGAAAAGAGAGGGAGGAGCGGCACGGCACTACCGAGACTTTTTGGCCCGTTTTATTTTTATTTTATTATAAAAGGTACAAATTGGAAGTCAATTTACAGCTATACAAATAGCTTCAATTTGTTTTTCTAAAAAGATCCGTGACAAACTTTGAATGGAAGTATCGTGGTGAAGATGATGGATAGTTAAATACATTTGGGCATTTCAAATCTTTTAAGTTAAGATGGTGGCCAAGTGTGTGTGAGAAATCCTATAAGTCATTACATTCTGCTGAATTCCACAAGACTTTTCTATCCTTAAATAGTTTTTTAAAATCCTAATTGAATACACCCTCTAAATTGAAGACTATGCTTGTTACAATTTAGGGCAATGACCTTGAATTTAGTCATCTTTTAGTCATAGATACACTACAAACTGAATATTTTACGATTTTTTCTGTACACATGAAGCGTAAATGAGACTAAAAAAATAAGTTTTAAATCACTAGTCTTAATCTCATTTGTGAGGCAAAGAAAAGGGAGGTAGGACAAAGAGGTCGACAACCATCAACAAATGAGATGGCTAAACTATTTTCTTAAGTTTGATTTTTGTGCTTCTACAAAAGCTAAACTGAAAGATTATTGTCTAAGTGGTATTTTTAGTTGGTGGGTCCAAGTGCAACGTGGAAAGCGCTTGTCCACCAACATGTCCTTCATTTTTGAGAGAGAAAATTTAGCAAATGAGATCCGATATGGTAAGAAAACACACGCAAGCAAAAATCTAGGCACATAATTAAATTTAGGTTTTAATTATTGTTTTTCCCTCTACTCTTCAAAATCGCAGTTTCTCCCTTAATTTTCTTCCTATCTCGCTCACTCCCTTATGTTTTTCTTTTGTGTCTTAGGTTACCCCATTATGTTAATTTTGTTATGACATTCGTTAAATCTTCTGAAGTGGCATGAGTGAGCTGTAATTTTTCACTTAATGTAATCTCGTGTACTAAAAATCAATAAACATTTTTAGTAATATTGTCTCACATAGAGTTGGGTCTCTCTTTTATTTAACACTTCTAACAATTTTTATGGTAATATTGGGGTCTACTCTTGCCACGTCAGAAGATTTAACAAATATTTTGACATATTAAATATTTTTTCTTAATACAATCAATAATTTAAATTACACAGGAATGAGATTTCTTACACATACTAAACTTTGTTGGTGTGGCGACGGACTTAATGAAGTTGGATAACATAAAACAACAAAAAGTCAGGGAAAATTAAGAATTCGTGAAGAATACGAGGGGCAAAACAATAATTAATTCTTAAGTTTATTAAAATAAGGAGAAGAAAACGAAGAAAGAAATTATGGGGGGCAACTTGTTATATTTTTTCTAATAAAAGGACAAAGAGAGATTCCCTTTCACCCGAAAGGCCGGGAGAAGACTGGCTGATAGAGAATTGAGATTACAAAGTCTCAACCCCCATGAACGTTAGCTGAATAAGGTCGATGCGAAAACTGAACAAATTAAAGACAAAACCATAACAGAAAGGACGGCAAAAAATCAAACCGACAAGATGAGAAACCAGGAGAGAAGATGAAGCATTAACATATATATATATATTGTCACTTTAACGTACGATATATATAATATTCTATATATTTAGGGGAGACAAATCTCAGGCCTAATTGGGTTCTGGGTTTTGTTTGGTTTGGTGAGAGAGGGCACAAGCAAAATATGTTGGTGGAAATGCTTAGGATGAAGAGGGAGGTGATCGAAGATGTTGCAATAATAGGGGGATTGGTAGGGGTGCAATTTGTGTATGCTGGGAATTCTGTGTTGCTGAGTTATTTTATGTCTTTGGGGCTTGACCCTCTCACCATTGTTATTTTCTCTACCTTGGCCACTTTCATCATCCTCTCTCCTATTGCTGCTTTTTTTGAAAGGTAGAAATGTGCTCTCTCTCTCTCTCTCTCTCTCTCTCTCTCTCTCTCTCTCTCTCTCTCTCTCTCTCTCTCAATGGATGATATTTAGTCTTTTTATTGATAGTTTCTGGGTTTCTGTTTCTTTAAATTTTTGGATTTGAGTGGATTTTGAGGTTTGATATGTAATTGTGTTGCAGGCATACATGGCCCTCGAAAGTCAGCTTGAAGTTGATGATTCAGTTGGTTTTGATCGCCTTTGGAGGGTATGGAAGTTCTAAATATGTTTGTTTCTAATTTAATTTAAATTTCTATTGGAAAAAATTTCCAGTGTACTTCTTACCACCTTGACCCTCTTTTTTTTTTTTTTTTTTTTTTTGTTTGTTTTGTTGGGGGGAGAAATTGAAAATCCAATGAGTACTTGGTTTAAATAGAAATTGTTTGCATAAATTAGGGAAACTTTGCATGTCGTGTTGCTCGGTTTGATTTGTCTATTGGAGTTTCCTTGCCCAGATTTTGTTCTATTCTGGATGTCCTCACTTTTTTTTTTCTATGAACTCTGGATGCCCTTCTTCCTAGTTTGTTTTAATAAAATATTGGTGGTGTGTTGTTGGCTTATGTGGTCCACCCCTAGTATAACATGTTTACAACTAGTAATATCCATACCTAAATTCAAATCTTGAACCCTAAACTATGGATGGATTTGGCATGTCATGTGGTTTATATGATCCACGCAATGATAACTTTTTTTGTTCTTCTATGAAGGTTTAAAATGCCCCAGTTTAAATTCCACAACTAATCTCGTAGTCACACTTATTGACGCAATATCTTCATCTTTGAGAAAATCACTTTATGCTTCTAAACGGCGCGTGTCGGTTATACTTCTATTATTTGGGTGGTTACAAGTAAATCTAGTATTCAAAGCATGTCCAAACTTTTTCCAAATTACAATTCGATGTGTTATTGTTTTAGGGGGTACATTCATGTTTGATGCAATACAAAATACTTTCTTGTGAAGAAGCTAATCTTAACAAATATTTCTACAAAATCGAAATAGGTTCTTAATTTTCTGACCAATAAAGGACTACTAGATTGAACTTTTAATTTGGTTGAAGTACATTAAAAATAGTTAAAGAGAAATTGGTAGTAAATGTGCTTTTCTTGTTTTTCTGTTTTGCAGGGTAACTTTATTCCAGACCTTAGTCCTAAAGGGCATCAAGCTAACTTCACCAGCAATGGCAACAGCCATGCCAAACCTTGCTCCTGGTTTTATTTTCATCATCGCATGTACTGTTAGGTACTTAATCTAACATCCTTTTTTCTTCTCTCTTTTTTTTCTCCGAGTAAATGCAAAAGTAAGAACAAGACAAAGAGAAAGAAGTAACAAAATATTAGATTAGTTAGCATGACATAACTTAATGCCAATAACTATTTAGTCTTCATCTTGTTAGATGAGATCCTAATTTTAAATTTCATGGACTATAGTTGTTGAATAAAAAACCGTAACGCAACTTATAACGGTTATGCAGATTGGAGAGAGTGAAAATTAGTTGCCTCTACAGCAAAGTGAAGATTCTAGGCACATTGCTATGTGTGCTAGGCGCTATCACAATGAGCATAATGCAAAGCACTACCACTCCTGCGGAAAGAGAGGCCCAATTTCAAGCTCGTGCTCCTGATGTTGTCTTTGATAGGCAGAAAATTATTGGTTGCTTGTATCTCCTCTCTGCTGTGTTTGTCTTGTCCAGCAATATTGTCTTACAGGTGAATATAGTAACGAGGATGAATAAAATTCTTAATTTCGCGTAATAGGAAAACGCTGTCTTGCTAGACTGCCCGGCAATATAAGCATTGATCTTGGCTTTATATGTCTTCTTTGTGTTAGATATGAATTGGTGTTTTTTTGTGATGTTTGACAGGCTACAACATTGCGTGATTTTCCTGCACCTATGTCCTTGTGCGCCATAACATCTTTGATAGGGGTGTTTATAACTGCAGCAGTACAATTTGTTCAAGATCGCAAGATAGAAACTGATTGGCCACTTGTGAGTGCAAAAGACTTGGTTGGCTTTTCTCTACTGGTAAGTATGCCTCTCTGTGTTTCTATTTTTTGGGTACATTTGAATGCGTCCGAACAAACAATTAATCCTAATCCTAATCCTTTTCTCCATCCGTCGTCACCTGGGCTAGTCCCAGGGACTTGGCACATATGACCCTTGTTTTAACAGGGTGCTTTTTAATTAATGCACAGGCAGGTACAGTGAGTGGAGTATGTGTGAGCTTCAATGGATGGGCAATGAAGAAAAGAGGGCCTGTTCTGGTTTCCATGTTTAGCCCCATTGGAACAGTCTGCTCAGTTGTTCTCTCACTTGTGACATTGGGAGAGAGCATCAGTGTTGGAAGGTACATCAATGATCAAACACTTTCCCTTGTGAGCTTAATTAGTGTGTGAGAAAGTGTTTGAATTTTGAAACTATTTTTGTTTTAATTTCTTCCTTTTTGGTCTCAATGATGCAGCTTTGCTGGCATGTGCCTCATGTTTACTGGCCTCTACTTCTTCCTATGGGCCAAGGGCAAGGAAGTTTACTTAGATGTTGTTGACCTTGAAAGTGAGTTTGATGCAGAGAAGCCTCTATTAAGTTGATGTACCTATGTTTTACATCACCTGGTTTGTATATACATTTTGGCTTCATTGATAGGAACAAGATTTGCATGGTACTAGTGTTAATGTGGAAATGCTGATCGCTATCTGATCTATGAACAATATGATGAAACAAGCTTTGCATAATGACCAAAAATCAGAAAGGGAAAACAGTTTTTACTCTGCTCAAATGCTCAACATTTATCAGCAAAGAGTTCCTACATTTTAAACTGTTTTTTGCAGAAAGGTGATTGAGGGGCTGCAAGCAACCAACCTGTATTGCTCTGTGTATGACTTGGGATATTTTACTTTATAGAGGTGGTGCTTGAGAAGATTATGGATTTGGGCTTCTGAGATTTCCATTAGGGTTTCATTTTGAGGCTATAGAAAATTTCTAAACTACAAGTACAGCCAAATAGAAGTTCTGTGCTAAAGATTTTTAGTTTTTATTGTTTTGGCTGGCATTCTTTTAGGAGGAGAAAGTTACTAACACTTGAGATCATATTGCAAAACCATTTTGAGTCACTGAGTCTAATATATACTTAACCAAAAAAAAGAAGGTACTTTGGGGGTTTTAGATGTAGAAACATTATATATATAACACCAAGTCTCTAGGTGGCTTGGGATGGGACTAAATATATTGTATACTGTATTTGTACAAACAAGTTACAACTGATTAACTACAATTTTTGTTTCTCATGTGCTTTATCTTCTAAAGAACTTTGCAAAATGCGCCCCTACTCGTCACGTATACTATCGCGCAACATTACCAATTCACTCAAAACGTGTCACTTGTTACAATCACATGCTTTGTTAATTTTGATTTACCAAGATGTAATACGTAAAATTATTGTTAAGACAGACTTGCAAATGCTATACCATGATTAAGCTTGGGGAGTTTGTGTGCTACTTTAAACTTGGTGCTTTTGAAAGCAGCTGACCAGAAAGAAGATACTTTACCAAAAAGCAGAATCCAACTACAACTCTAGCTTTGGATTTTAAACTTTGATTGTATGGTTGGTCATGATAATCAACTCTGTTCAAAGATTGAGGCTGATTTTCACAAAACTGCTTTATGAAGCAAAGTCTACTTTTTTTGTGTGTGGATATTTTTGGTTGGCCAACAAGGTCTATCTATTAAAGGAACGTAGATCCAGTAACCATTTGGATGGCTTTAGAAATTTGCCACTTAAAAAGTCCTGCAAACATGACCTAACAATTGGGACTAGCTATAAAATCCATTTCACATAATTTGTTGTAGTAATATATATTTTCAAGATGTTCTAATACCACACGGCTTAAACACGTTTTTATTATAAAGAGTAGATACAAATAGTTACCTCTGCATTCAAGATCGCGTGATTTACCATTAATTGTAGCTCTTTGAGTTTATATATGCAACTAGGAGTGACATGACAAAACTTCTTTTTCGGACGACAATCACATACACCCCTATTAGTTCAAATTGTATTTGTAAAAGACCATATTGAAATGGCAGAAGTTTAAAATTGTTACTTATTTCCAAAGGACTACATTAAACTAAGCCTCTATATGGTTGGAGTACTAGTCGAATTTTGAATTGTAATATCAAGTAGGAGAAATTATTATATTCAACGAGTGGATCATGTCATTTTTCCTGACACACGCATGAACAATGATGTATGTATTTGAGTCTCACACGATATCAGGCTAGTCCCACCCTATCGTTGAAACCCCTTTACTTACGCGTGTGATCGACAATGACATGATCTACCCGTCGAACTCAAGAATTTCTCATAAAAGTAGAGTATAGATTAAAAGTTAGGAGGTATTTAACAAATCGTACTAAAAGAAAAAGTATATATGCAGAGGCGTGATGCACGTGACATCCCACGTCACTAACATTTGGGAATCACACCCATCGCACAACACAGTAAAACGAAGCAAAATGGAGGTTGGTGACAAATCCTTTAAAAATGAAGTTGGGAAGTTGCTATCAAGTATAAAGATCAACCCCACAAACTAAACTTTCAACCTGAAAATGATGTTAGAATCAACACAGAAATGGTAATTAAATAAAGCATTATATATCATGCAGAAGTATTCCATTTCAATATGTCTCATGAGTTCTCTCAAGTTTCTTTGGTTTTTTCATACAAGCGATATTAGAGGAGGGGGAATTCGAACACAAGAGTGTTAGAATAACTGCTCTTAATCACTTGAGTTACAAGTCAATTGCACTTTCAAAAGCCATAATGTGGTCGTTTTTTTCTTTGATTTAACTAAAAATATATTTCTTTAAGTGGCCCAAAATTTAAAGGCCCCCATGGTACTTAATGGACTTTAGAAGATGGGCTTCATACCAACAAGGACATCAATTTAGACAAAGGCAAATGAATCCAAACCCAAATTGTATATTCGTTTAGTTTAATGCTAGAGTTGGATGAGGCCAGTAACATGAATCATGATCGTGGTTTTAAAATTCTGAAACAACATTTTTTTCTTTCTTTCTAGAAATAGTTTAATATTCTAGACAGATTCAAGCAAATAATCACTTATAAGTTTATAGTCTGAAACATTAGATGCATTATGGACTGCCCAACTGGGACCAAATCCAAAGAGAATCTACATAGACCCGACTAGTGAATCCACAAAGTGCGCTTCACTCTTGCTATTAACTTTTGTTATTCCGCCGCTGCGGTATAGTTGAGTGGGAAAATGGTATTGACCTGCAGGTCAGTGGTTTTAGGGTTTAACTCTAATAACATGTGATAATGTATGTGTGAGAAACCCCTCTTTTCTTGTAATTTAGACTGTCGCTTATATTATCCCAAAAAAAAAACAAAAAAACCCCATTCTTCCAGAGCATATGAATAATGTAATTTACACCTTTAATCCAAGGATTACGAAGAAGGTGAGCCGTAAAGAGAGAAAAGCAAAAGGAAAAACACACATTTTGATTTCCTACCACAAGAATTAACAGTAAACTCTCTAATACTATATTCCAAGGTGAAAAACGTGAGATTCATGGTCATGATTATAGCCACTGCTAGCAAACCTTTTTTAAGGACCAAAACTAATTAAACTCTTCGTCTAGTGCTATTTATCTTCTCAACGTGGGAAAATTTCAACTTCAATCCTTCTCTATTAATTAAAAAGGAAAAGGGGAAATGTATTCGACCAAAGTTTTTAATACTTTTAGATGGCGAGAGAGTCGAATTCATAACGTAGGAGTAACAAGTATCTACAATTGGAGTAAGTAACCGTACCTTTATCGAAAACTTGTAAATAAACGTTAAAATATTAGGTACGCACTTAAAATTTGTGTTGGATTTTACTTCTCTGGATACTCGAAGTTTGCACTCTCCACGGTATGATATAGTTGATTGTGTACATTATGCAAACAAAAAGATACAATAGAAAAAGGTTGATTAAAGGTTAAAGAAAGCTGGACAAGTGTCATAATTTTGCTATTTATTAACAGAAACCCATCTAGAGCTGCATAACCAACGCAGTCACATCATGTTCGGTGCCATAAATTGATCACTTGCAACAACAAAAAAGCAAAGTAATGCTGTTTCTGTTCTTTTTTCCTTTTTTCGTGGATAGTATTTTACGAAGCTATTTTGTATAACAACTTAAGGTCCGTTTGATAACCATTTCAATTTTAGTTTTTAGTTTTCATTTTTGGCTGAAGTATAGAGCACAAGAGGGGAATGGAAATGAGAATAAGAGTAGAGATGAGAATAAGCGGGAGAGAGAGGGGAGGATGAGAGGGAGAGTAACAAAAGTGAAACAAAAATCTAAAACCTGGAAAATCGATTTGTAATATTCAACTTTAAGTGGTGTTTTTACTTTTGTTCTCCTCCCTCCCATTCTCCCCTATTTCACCTACTCCCATTTCTCACTCTCATTTTCTCTATACTCTAGCATAAAAAACTACAAAAACTAAAAAGTTTAAAAAATGGTATGCAAAAGAGCTCATGTTATAAAGTATTGTCAGGCGGAATTACGATTTGAGACGACATATGAGGACCGATCGAAAAAACAATATTGGGAATAAATGGCAAAAAAAAAAGAAAGGAGGAAAGAAGAAGCATGTGAAAGGACTCACTCATCAAAGGAATCCAGTTAATAGTCCTTTTTTTCTCTAAAATAAAAATGTATTACAGTCCATAGATGACAGCAACCCAGTGATTGGAGTGGCAATTCTAGCATCCCCCTCTTTCTGGAGGTTGACAGGCATAGGGCATTTTGGTGGGAACATGGCGGGTCTCCCAGAGAATTAGAACATTACATCCCAACACAAAAAATTAATACAAATTAATAAAGCAACCAAATCTAGACATGTATTATAAACAAACCAGACTATTTAAAATAGAAACATCACCGAAAATATCAACCCAAAGTCAGCTTTTTAGGTTGTGGTTTATCAATGGGTTTGAGGGTGTGTAATGCTGGGTTGGGTGTGTTTATATTTTAATATAGTTGCTTGGTTTTTTTTTTAAATTTCAGACTCCATTTGGGGTGTTTTAGTGGTGAAACTTCAAAAATTAATCAGCAATGCTTGCGTTTTTTTTTCTTTGTGGATATTCTCGACATCGTACCATGGGGCAGGCTGGCTGTTATATGGAGGGTCAGTCATGGTACGTAGATCATGATGATGTAGTTGGCTGAGTCATAGTTGGGTGGTCCGGAGATGAACCTTAGCGTCACACACATACAGTCGCTTTTATATTCTAAAAAAGTATTTATAGCATATATACGAGTTTCAAACCGAAAATTTAGTACGGACCGGCGCCCTCAATTGAGATATTTTTGGATAAGGATAAAAAATTGGCCTAAGTTGCTCTCGAAATTATCAAAACCAAATATTAGAAATGTTAAAGAAAAGCACAAAATAGCAGGGCCGGGAGGTGTAACGTCCATAGACAAGAGCACGGCCGGCCAAATTGGCATGCTAAAAGCATCTTATGCAATTGTACACAGTTGGTGCTGATGTCCAGGAAAAAGTAACCGATCTCAAATATGAATACCAAGGAAAGGTTGGATGTTATCATGATTCTCATTCTCGGATGGTGGAGGGTGGCTTAAATTCCAATATACCAGCAAAAACGCTCTACATTTGGTTTGGTGGTATGACTATCCACACTGCAATACCTACCAACTTGTATCAATAAAACAATATATCTAATAAAGGGGCTTATAAACTTTAAGCAGACGGTTCAAAGTCGTTATCCTTCTATAGAAGTCCTGAGTTCAAATTCGCCATCTAATATCGCTTGTAAAATAAATAAATAAATAAAAAGTCGAAAATTCTTATTTTTAACTTTATAGCACATGATCGTATCCTATCATTTAGGGAGAGCCTATTGTTACAACAACAGACCCCAACTATCTTTCTGAAGTTAATAAGGGGAGCCATTAATTTTGGAATCCCTCATGCTTATGGTTCTCAAATCTCACCTTTATTACTTTATTCAAGTAACACAGCCGGCCCTATTTGGTAAAATGTGTGAGAGGAAAAGTAAAATCGACCACAAAAATCAACAGTTGAGAGAGAGAGAGAGAGAGAGAGAGAGAGAGAGAGCACCTTTTATTTTTGCAAGATTTGTGCATTGATCAACATTTAAGCAAATGAACAAGAAGCCAAATATATATATATATTTTTTCAGAGAATAAATGAAAAAAGAAAAGGAAGAAGAATCATGAACAAATGGGAAGAAAAAAAGTAAGCAAAAGAGGAACAAAAGTTTGGGCAAGTGAGAAATTTCTTGAAAACAAAAAGACTTGGTGAAATATGAGATTCAAAATGACCAAAAATGGCCCCTCATACATTTAAAACTAAACCATGTTACATAATCAATTTGGTCTTGAAACCAACAAATCCATAATGGCATTGGCAATGAGTGCCAACTGCCACTAAATTATATATACAGACATGCCTTACAAAAACATGGCATGGAAGGAGTTTAATTGCCTAATCCAAAAGGTGGTAAAAGAAGAGGTGATTACTGAATTGGCAAGGATTGCATGTTACTTGTCCCTCTTTCCCCCATTCATGTCACACCCTTTTCTATTTGGCACACTAAAGAAAAATACTAATTAGATTCTTATAATTCTCTTTTTTTTTAAAAATAACACTTTTACAACTGTGTTTTGTGTTCTTTTTCATCATTTTTTGTCTATATGTTTAAAATGATGATACTATATATATCAGTGTCATATTTTTTTCTCTTTTTGGGGTGTGTGTGTCGTTTGGTGAAGAATGCTTGTCACTACGCCTTTTTAAGTTCCCATCCTCTCTCTCTCTCTCTCTCTCGCTCTCTCCATACAGTAGTCCTCAAACGGCCATGCTTTTAAAAAAAAAAAAAGAGGAGAAAGCAAGAATGTCTTAAAGCTGTCTTGGGTTGGCTCTCTGCTCTGCTGCTAGTGGCGTTTTCCAATGGAGAGGCACATGCCAGCTCTGGCGCGAGAGAACTTTGCTAATGGCAGAGCATTTGGGTGGCCACAGTACGCTCACTTTTGCGCACTCCCTGTCCGCGTCCCCCAAAACCCAGCAACTCACATGGTCACCTCGTCCTTTAGCTTTAATCCTCCGTGAAGACCAACCAAGACCAAAACAGAACACACTACAGAAGAAAGAAGAAGAAAAAGTGTTTGGTGTTTGGGTTGAGAGAGAACCCCACAAGAGGAGTTTCATGCTGCAGAGCTGAGTTCTCTTTTACAGTTGAGTGCTGGGCTGTCTTCAAGACAGAGAGAGCGAGACCGAGTCAAAAAACCCGACTCGGAGACGATCCAAAGCGGAATCGGAGATCATGTTGTGGTGTGGTACAGAGAAGCAGAGGAACAAAAAAAAAAAAAAAAAAAAAAAAAAAAAAAAAAAAAAAAAAAAAAAAAAAAAAAAAAAAAAAAAAAAAAAAAAAAAAAAAAAAAAAAAAAAAAAAAAAAAAAAAAAAAAAAAAAAAAAAAAAAAAAAAAAAAAAAAAAAAAAAAAAAAAAAAAAAAAAAAAAAAAAAAAAAAAAAAAAAAAAAAAAAAAAAAAAAAAAAAAAAAAAAAAAAAAAAAAAAAAAAAAAAAAAAAAAAAAAAAAAAAAAAAAAAAAAAAAAAAAAAAAAAAAAAAAAAAAAAAAAAAAAAAAAAAAAAAAAAAAAAAAAAAAAAAAAAAAAAAAAAAAAAAAAAAAAAAAAAAAAAAAAAAAAAAAAAAAAAAAAAAAAAAAAAAAAAAAAAAAAAAAAAAAACACTACTACATTTTAGTCTTTGCGCGACGAAAGGGTTTTCGTCGCGCAAAAACGATTTTAGTCGCACATCATTATGCGCGACAGAATATTCGTCGCGCACAATCCGTCGCGCAAAGGTCGTGAAGAAAGGATTTGCGCGACGAACAAATGTCATTCGTCGCGCAGTTTGCGCTACGTATAACATCTTCGTTTCAAAAAACATTTCGGGACGGCATCATGTCCGTCGCACAAATATTTGCGCGACGAACCAGAGGTCGTCGCAAAAAAAACTGCGCGACGGAATTGTCCGTCGCGCGAACTACATGAACCTTGCGCGACGACATCTTATTCGTCGCGCATACACATCTTGCGCGACGAAATTACTCGTCGCGCAAGATTAAGATATATTTAAATGTTTTTGCGCGACGATTTACGTTTCGTCGCGCAAAAGCAATATATATTATTAAAAAAATTTATTATTATTTGATTTTTAATTTGTAAAAAAATAAATGTTGTTTTTTTTTAATTAAAATGAAATTACAATTAAAAAAAATTAATCGTAAAGAAAACATCTATTATATAAAATAAAATAAATGTATACAAATTGTAAAATAAATTATAAAAATAACAAACTAATCAAATAATGTTCCGAAATCTAATTGGTCATCTGCCACATGCGGCTCGGAGGTATGCGGCTCGGAGGTATGGGCGTCTGCAGGGGCCGTGGTGTGCTGGGGATGCTCGGGCTGGACGGGCTCGGAGGTCGACGCACCAAAATTCGGGATTGGAATCCCGGACCGCGCGAGCGACTGCAGAATCACCGACATCTGACCCTCAAGCTCGGCAACCCGCGATGTCAAAACAGTCACCTGACTGTTTGCCTGCGACGATGACCGCGGTCGAGGTTCCCTCTGTCGGGCATTCCCCATCCCCCTACAATACGTTCCCGGCCTCCTCCCGAGAGTCTGATCCAACGTCTGCGTCAAAATCTGAAATCCAGCATCATGCGGAGGATCCACAGACTCGATCGGAGTCTCGGGAGGAAGTTGGGAGGCGGACTCTTGAAGAACCAACTGGCTCCTCTCCACCATCGTCGTCTGTTTAACATTACATAAAATATAAATTAAAAAATGCATATAAATTGAAAGTGTAACATAAGAATTAAAAATACATAATACTTACATGAAGGGACTCGGCCAACTCATCCCCAGGTCGAACATAAACGTCACCAAAGACGTCGATCTCTGGGAATTTCGACCCCCCCCTTAATTGAACAAGAGAAGAAAAATATTAGTATGAACAAAAGAAATTAATAATAATGACATATTAAAAATTAAATATAAATTATATTATTCTTACCCGACGCCGTGCATCCATCCTATATGAGAAGGGCCTGGAGCCGGAATGGTGAAGAAGAGTCTTCTTCTTCCTATTGCCCTTATTCACTTGGGCTTTATTCTGTTATACAAAAAATAAAACGTAAGAATTGAACTATAAATAAATTAAATAATAATGAGATATAAAAAATAAAATAAACATTAAACAAATATTATTAAAAAAATACCACATAATCGGGCGCCTGAAAATGAGCGCAGAGCCACGCCCAACTATCCTCCCGGCCCTCAAGCTCCTTCGGGCAACCCTCCTGAAGAGCGACTTCCGGATCATCAAAGGCCTGGAAATGGTGGTGCAAGTCGCTCTTCCACTGCTTGTACCTCTCACCGAAGAGTCTGTTGACGTACGCCAAAGTCTCCTCGTTGAGGTCCTCTAAGTCGTAGTTCGTCTGCAATAAATTGATTACATACATTAAGTAATAGAAATATATAAAGTTTGAAAGAAAAATAATTAAAAGATAGGAAAAATACCGACAACTGGCCGCGAACTTGCATCTTGATCTCGTCAGGTATGACCTTCCAAGACTTCCATTGCATCGGGCAATGGGTCCGAACGACGTGGCCAATGTCGTGGGCCAAGGAGCTATGCAAGTCCGCCGTCGGTGCAGCCCGATGGCGCTCGTCATATCCGATGCTGATACGACTGTTGGTCACCCGGGTGACCTTCGCTGTCTTCAGCTGCCGACACGGCCCTCGGGTGTTCCTCTTGGCTGCAAAGGGGAAGGGTATTACCTGTAGGTGCCCCCGAGGCACCAGTACAGTCAGTGGATGTGGTGTCGGTGGTGGTAGCGGGCCGGTGTCGCCGCCTAGCGCTAAGAGGCTGCACCACCGAAGAAGATGATGATGCAGCCGCCTGGGATCCCCCAGGACCAGCTAGCACGTGGTCCTGCTCCATCAGTGCTGGAGCAGTGGCAGCTGATATCGGCTGAGCCGGGGGCTCCGAACTCGGTGTAGCCGTCACCGCCCTACGACGTCTAATCAAGTCTGACATCTGCACAATTTCATTAATCCAATGTAGCACATACAATGTCAGTAAAAAATTGAACTAACTAATTAAAATCATAGTTTGACCTAGGGTTTGCGATTTCGGAGTATCCGGGACTCCGATCCACAATCCGTCAATTCCTAAACGATCCTATAAATACATGGTACCACATACGTGAGTTTCAGCTCGATCCAACGGTCCGAACATATCAAACCCTAAAATCGCACAATAGGTTCAAACCGTTCGAGACTCAAACGATAACCAAATTCCAATCCGAGCACACCTACGCGCTCGTGACAACGAAATGTTTGCACTGGGACAAAAAGCCCTATGCCACAGTACCCCACGCGCCACCACACGCGCCGGCAGCGCGTGGGTGCCCTAAGAGATAACGATCCCCGGGAAATCCTACAAATTAAGGGGCAAGGTTCCTACCCTAGGTTTAAAACATCAATTGGAGCCACTTTTGTTCTCGGACCTACCCCGAAAAACGGACGGAAGTGGCCGGAATTTGAATTTCAAAACCGGCCGAAACCTAGGGTTTCAAATTGACTACCCTATGCACACAATCAATCAAATCCTACACAACCATCAGCTAGAGCATGAAAAATAGGCCAAAAAGCATACCTCAATTGCCGGATTTGGTGCCCGGAGGAGAGAGAACAACGGCGGCGGAGATTCGGGCTAAACCGAGCAATTCACGGCGGCAGGATGGACGGCCACGGCGGAGAAGCTCCTGGGTTCGACGGTGGCGGCAGCAGGGTCTGATTTGGGGCGGATTAGGGGCTGAGGTCACGGCGGAGAGATTTGGGAGGTTTTAGGGTTAGGTTTCAGAATTTGGGGAAGAAGGAGAAGATCGCGATTTTCAGAAAACTTATTCGACTTTGCGCGACGAACATATATTTCCGTCGCGCAAACGTCATTAAAATAACCCTTGCGCGACGAAAACATTAACTTTTCGTCGCGCAATGTTATAAAATTGGACCTTTGCGCGACTAGAACAACAAATTTCGTCGCGCAAACGTGTGAACAGATATACCTTGCGCGACGAAAAAACTACTGTCGTCGCGCATACTTGTGCAGCCGCCCAAAATTTTGTAATTTGATTTTGCGCGGGAAAAAATCAATGCAATGCGATTGCGCGACGAATCTTAATTTCGTCGCGCATGCTAGCTGTTCCATCTAAAGGTTGCGCGACGCACTCTCTGTGATTCGTCGCGCAAACTGGCTTTTGATAAAAAATTTCACTAAGTGCTGGAGCGGAGAGGAGAGGGAAATTTTTTTATTGATTTTGCGCGACGAATGGACTAATATTCGTCGCGCAAACTGGCTTTTGAAAAAAAAATTTCACTAAGTGCTGGAGCGGAGAGGAGAGGGAAATTTTTTTATTGATTTTGCGCGACGAATGGACTAATATTCGTCGCGCAAACTGGCTTTTGATAAAAAAATTTCACTAAGTGCTGGAGCGGAGAGGAGAGGGAAATTTTTTTATTGATTTTGCGCGACGAATGGACTAATATTCGTCGCGCAAACTGGCTTTTGATAAAAAAATTTCACTAAGTGCTGGAGCGGAGAGGAGAGGGAAATTTTTTTATTGATTTTGCGCGACGAATGGACTGATATTCGTCGCGCAAACTGGCTTTTGATAAAAAAATTTCACTAAGTGCTGGAGCGGAGAGGAGAGGGAAATTTTTTTATTGATTTTGCGCGACGAAGGATTCTGTTTGTCGCATAAGGTTTGCGCGACGCGTAAGCTTCTATTCGTCGCGCAAAACCATACCCCAAACCCTAAAACCTGTACCCTAAGCCCTAAACCCGAACTCCTGAACTAGTTTCAATGATCCAACCGACAATCTTCTTTTTTCATAGTTCAAGATCGTATACGTCAAAAATCATAATGAATGAACATTCAGAGATTGAGTAACGGGACAAAACGTTTCGACGGTTGTAAACAAATTGTCCCGATTCAACGGTGATTTTAGCTCCGATCTTGAAAATTTTTTGCAGCTGCGGTTCTTGACCCTATATGAATACAGAGATTTAATTCGATCTTCAATTTCAGATATTTACAGTACAAGACATCACATAATCTTATATTAGACT